TGCACTTTGAATTCAATGGAAACTCTCTCAGACTTTCATAGGATTAGTTCCAATGTTCACAGACATAAATATGCAACCTTATACCCATGGGATTTTTACCTGTGATCTCAGGGCCACTTTAAGCATTTTGTAAAAAATTACTAGAGAAATGGAGATGAATGAATGTTGTCATTAAAAGGGAAAATGAGCTCCTAGATACTCAAGACCTTTGAATATGTGCTTGATGTCAGTAGGTGGCAAAGCAGCAAAGAAAATGACCAAAGGGAGGTCACATGTCAACTTAGGAAGGAATATGGACATCACCAGGATATACCGCTCTTTCTTTGCTGTTGGGTTGGAACTCTCAACTGACCCTTGCTTGGATTTCTGAGGCTGTAAAGTATATGGGAAGAGATTGCCCTTCTTTCTTTCTTTCTTTCACAGAGTTGCTGGTAAATTTCAATTGCCAGACAAGCATGGCCTTTGAGTTAGGAGGACAACTCTTGAGCCTTTAAATCCTATCTTTATTTTCTGGAGTAGGAATACTAAGTTAAAAGATAGATATATTCATAGAATCTCATATTTGAGGAGAGGACTAGTATACTGTTGATCTGGTCCAAATAATGTTCTTAAACTATTAAGTCTTGATTTCAGCCAAGTGTTTGAGAAAATGTCTTACAATGAACTTAGGAGAACAGTCAAGTAGTATTAACTGTAGATTCTTGTATATTGAAACTAAAGCCAAAATCTGTTGACTAATGAATGGTGTGGTATTCTTTATGGGGAAATAGTAAGGTAGACACAGTCATTGACTTTATTCTTCACCTGGAAAAATCTAAGACTCAGCGAGGCAATCCAAATAGAAGAAAGTTGCCTCTGCGTCAGAATTGGAGTGATGAAAAAGTGAATATGGAAGTGTGTTGTTGTTAGATACCATTAAGACACTTAGGACTCATAGTGACTCTTTGAACAACAGGTCCGCACCTTGCCCCATTCTGTACCATCCTCACCATCTATGATGTATGTGGTCAAGCTTACTGTTAGAGTCATCATGTCCATCCATCGTGTTGAAGTTCTTCCTCTCTTTCTCAAACCCTCCACTTTTCTTAAGGACTGGCTCTTTCTGGTAACATGACCATGATGCTTCACCATCCTTAACTCTTAACGGAGCGTGCTGGTTGCACTTTCATCAAGCAAACCCTTTTCTTCTTTTAGCAGTTCATGATATATTCATTCATCCATCTTCTCCAGCATCACAAATCTAAGGCATCAATTCTTCTTCTGTTATCTTTATTCGTTGGCTAGTTTTCAGGTGGATAGGTGATTGATTGTTGTTGGGTACCATAGCGTTGGAACCGATCCAGAGCTGACCCTCTGGCGGGTTTTCAGAGGCGATTAATCACATGGGAGAAGATTGCTCATCCTCTTGGGGGGCATCGGGTGGTCTTGAACTGCATGCCTTCAGGATTAAAGCACAGCTTCTTGCCACTAGGCCACAGGAACTTCCTAGAAATAGCATAACAGACTATGCTTTAGACCAGACATAGAGATGAAAAATGCAGTTTATCTTGTTAGCTTGTTATTTTATTCTAAGCTAATGCTATTAATCATTATTAAAATTAATATTTGTAAATTTCATGTCCTGACGTCTTAGAGGTTAAATGCATGTTATGGAAGAGGTGAAATATAATTTTGAGGCAGTGAAAATGGGAATACTGGAGTTTAGTTAATGAAAATGTTATGAATGGTCTATCTTGAAAAATGGTACAAAAAGCCTATAATGAGAAGAAGAAAACTGAAGTTCAATCTTAGATGGCCCTGTTGTTGTTGCCTATCTGGTGTTTGCAGGGTCACTGTGAGTCATACTTGACAGTTGTGCTTATGTACTGTCAGGTTGCTTCGTGCTTATGTACTGTCAGGTTGCTTCTTCCTTATAATAAGCCTGTGCATGACAGAATGACGCAGTGCCTGGAACAGGACCATTCTCACGTTAGAGGGTTACTGTGTGCCACTGAGTTGAATCTGATTCATAGCTGACCCTCCAGCGGCCTCTCAGAGGCAGTTAACCACATGGGAAGAGATTTCCCATTCGTCTCCCATGAAGTAGCTGGTGGATTGGGGATTGTAGCCCAGTGTCTTCTCACTAGGCTTCCAGCGTCCCCTTCACATTAGGGTGGGTCTGTTGCATCCATTCTGTCACTTCTCCCTGAGGGTCTTCTTTTTCACTGACCCTCTGTTTTACCACGCGTGGTGTCCTTTTCCAAGGATTAGTGTCTCCTTATAGTACAGACATGTAGTTCAAATCCAGCAGCTATTCTGTGGGAGAAAGCTGGTCATTCTCCTCCTTTGCAATTTCCTGCCTCTGAAAACCTGCTGGAAGGCCAGCTATGAGTTGGTTCCAGCTTGACAGTGCACAGCAACAATAACAACAGCGTAATACGCTCAACATAACATGAGCTCTGGTGGCCTAGTGGTGAGGAACTACACTGTAACCTCAAAGGCACGCAGTTCAAATCCACCAGCTGCTCCGCAGAAGGGCGGATAATCTCCTCTCTTGTGATTTACTGCCTCTGAAAACCCACTGGAAGGCCACCTATGGGTTGGTTCCGACTCAACAGTGCAGAGCAACAATGACAAGAACATCATAGGCCCGAAATCACGTGGGCTGGAGTCCTTCCGTCCTCACCTCTAAAGAAGCTTGTTGGCTGTACTTCCAAGGCACGTGTGCTCCCCTGGACATTTATTCTCTGGCAGCGCACACATTGAAAATACTCAGTGTTCTTCACGACCACCATAATGCAGGTGCCTCAGTTCTTTTTCTTTTCCCCCCATGTGTGGCCTTCACATGCATATGTGGCAGTTGAAAATACCTTGGCTTGGATCAGGCATGCATTTGTCTTCAAAGTGACAGTTTTGCTTTGTAAGATTTTTTTAAAAGTTCAGCTTTTTATTAAACGTGTTACAAAAGGAGTTGAGTCAAAAGGCCCATGTCATCATCTGACTCTTCCTTTTCACCTTCCACTTTCTTCTCTGCTGGAGCAGCAGCAGCGGAGGCGGGTGAGTCCTCCAGCCAGTGCAGCCCCAGGCCGCTTGGGCTGGTCCACCAGCACCCACGTTGTCCAGGGCCTTTGCAAACAGACCAGGCCAGAAAGTGTAAACATTGACCCTGGCTGCCTTAATGAGGGCATTGATTTTAGCCACCGTGACTGTCACCTCATCATCATGCAGGGTGAGGACCATGTAGATGCAAGCGAGCTCAGAGACGGAGGCCTCGGTGTGGGGGTGTGAAGCTGATGGCTGCCAGGTGCGGTGCTAGACTCCAGATGAAGTGAGGGCCCCAGTCCAGTGCAGCCTTGGAAGAACGGAGCACTTTGGCGGCATCTGAGAAAATGGTGCTTTTTAGGACTTTTAAAGAAGTCTTTTCACTGAACTTGCTTAATGCATTACATGGCAACATATGAACGTAAGATGCCAGTTAGTTTCCATTTTTGTGTTTTAGTCTAACATTATCTGAACCTCTGGGATGTAGACCATAGGGAGTTGTGCAGCTAAGCCAAGCACTGCACCTCCCTGGTGCTTCAAAGCCACTAGCAGCTGCACAGGGCAGAGGGGGCGGGGGGCGGGGAACTGTGCAGTTTCTTCTCCTGTAGTTTCCAACCTTGGAAACCCAATGTAGGATCATTAGAAGTAATTCTAGCTGGATAGCAATGAATCATCATTCTGATTAGTATCTTTTAAGGCTGCTCACAAATTGGCACCAATTCCAGACCATGTTAATCAGAATGGTGAGTGCCTACATGAGTATCCTGTGAGACAGCGCGCTTGCGAGCAATTGTTTATATTCAGCCTACTGAAAAATAAGATGTGTGATTATCTTCAACACAAGAGCTGCCAGTTACAAAAAATAAGACCCAACACCATTTGAAGTTTCTTCCTAAAAAAAAAAAAACCCCAAAAAAACTAAAAATTTTTTTTAATGGAAAGTAATTTGTCAACACTGATAGGGTGAGTGAGAAGCAAAGAATTGAAGAGACTGTGAGAGAACAAATTCTTTCCAAAAGAATGTAAAATAGCAAGTTAGTTTGGCTATTGATTGAATTGGAGATGACCATCTCTTTAGTGTGTATTTGAAGTCCAGTTGGACCTATTTAATTTGCATTCTTTAAAGGTTCAGTTCCAGTGTTGCCTCTTCTCTGAAGTCCCTTTCTCCCTACAAAGTGTTTCCTTTCTCATCTGTCTTTGAACCCTAACCCCATACGCATTAAGTAGATCAGGTACAGTGTTGTTGTGTGCCCTCAAGTTAGAACTGACCCTTACCTCCAGCAGATTTTCAGAGGCAGTATATCATATGGGAGGTGATTGCCCATCCTTCTCCTGCAGAGCAGCTGGTGGATTTGAACTGTGTGCGTTTGGGATTGCAGTGTAGCTTCATACCACCCGAGCTTCTTATTAGGCCACCAGAGCTCCCTCAAGTTCAGTGAGTGGTCAGTAAATAAATGCTGGATGGAAGAATGGAGATGGGTGGTAGTCCACAGGCCTTGGGTCCCAGACAGCAAGCGTCCAGCAGCAGACCTAGATGCAATCCGTCACATCATCTTCACAAGGCTCTTTATTCATTTGCGCTTCCAGCCACTAAGTTCTGTAGAAAATTTGTTTTAGATTTTATGAGATAAGAAAGAAAGCTATTTTTTAGTTGATTATACCCCGTAAAGCCTTTCATTCTGTCATTTGAATTTTTGACCGTAATATTTCCTGCATTCGAACAAAAGCCCTTGGTTCACTGGAGCGTGGTTTGAAATTTGTAGACTGATTACTTAGCTGTTCATCTCCGGAGGAGTGTTTAGTCAGGAATGAAGAAAATAATTACTTCTGAAGTTGGAAGCCTTAGCAAAAGAGACAAATGAAAATGATGCTATCGGAGTTTGAAAAGTTGTCTTTTCCCTCAGCAGCAATGGATCTTCAGGCAGAGGAGGTTGAATGTCACTGAGTAATATCCCCCTCTGTTATTGTGTTCGATTTAGGTGGATTCCGAAGTCATTGAGAAGTGGATGGATGGCGTGAAAGACTTCTTAATGAAAGAGCAGGCTGCCCAAGGAGACGCGGAAGGGCTACAAAGGCAGCTTGACCAATGTTCTGTGAGTTCTGCTGACCCAGGGAACCGCCTGTCATCAGTCACATTTCCTGCCTTTTCTTTGTTGCTTGCTGCTACCATTAAAATTGGAAGACTGTGCTCGGACCACAGACCTAGATAGAGTATCTCTTATAATAAATTATGTTTCTTACTCTGTGGTTAATAAAAGAAGACGGACGATTCTTATTTTTCTTTTTGACCATGGTTCTGGGAATTTTGACAGAGAAAATAAGAACAAGTTTATTTCATTATGAGCTGCTATTTTACGTGACAAGGCAAATGTTGGTGTAATGATCACCGCTGTATAATTGCTTCTAAAGTGCTACATGGTGAAAAACCACATTTGAAAAAATGGTATTTGCTAGTAACACTGAGTACAGTTTCTATTAGGTGACATCATTTTCAACTTCACTAAATTTATCAGAAGCGCTGTCCCTTGCTGAGAGTCAAGTATTTCCAGTTTAATATGGCATATTGGTATCTGAAGTACCAAGGTGAAAAGAATTTATTAAGGTGCAGTCTTTCATTAAGTACTTTAAAGTCCAGTTTCTTACACAGTCTGTTCTGACAGGAGTCTCAGGGACGCAAGCAGGCAGACTAGAATTATGATGTCTACTGACATAGGAAATAAACTCAACATGGGCTTGTTTAATATGTCCAGGCATTTTTTCATGAACTTGAAGCAGTTGAATCGGCTTTGAAGGATATGAAAGAAATAGAGGCCGACCTTCGAAGCAGTCCGGTCCCTGGTATCAAAACCTGGATGCAGGCAAAACTAGGTGACTCCCAAGCACAATTGGAAAAGTTTAGCAAGGAGGTAAGTTTTTTAACTTGTTTTCTGTGGTTTCCAAAGGATATACACAGTGATTTCTTTCCCCACCAAATACATTGAATTTTTAGAAACCATCTAACTTACATTTTTATTATTTTTTTAAAGTTTACAGATTTTACAGGTTTTCGTTTGATTATGTATACGCATTTTTTGGTGCAAGAGTATGAGATTAGCATACAGAAATCTGTTGGATTTCTCTGTAGTACTAAGCCATTCCACTTAAAAAAACCATAGAGTAGCTACAGTAAATTAAATGGAGGCAAGGAAATTATACATTTTATCTATCCTATCTGTCTATCAATCTATCTATCTATCCATCTATCTATCTATCTATCTATCTATCTATCTATCTATCTATCTATCTATCTATCTATCTATATCCATCCATCCATCCACCCATGTATCTGGACCGCCAAGAAAACAAATGGGTCTGTCTTAAAGAGGGTGAAACCAAGTCTTTTCTTGGAGGCTAGGCTTTTGAAGCTCCACCTCACTTACTTTGGACATGTGGCCAGGAGAGATCAGTCCTAGGAGAAGGACATTATGCTTGGAAGGGTGGATGGACAGCGCAGGAGAGGGAGACCCCGCATGAGATGTATTGATACAGTGACGGGGGCAGTGGAGGTTGGTGTGCTGGAGTTAGTGAGACTGCCTCAGGACAGGGAAGGGTTCAGAGCTGCTCTACATAGAGTTGCTATACATTTGACTCAATGGCACATAACAACCATAACATACTATGATGGGTGTGGAAGCAGGAGTGGCATCCACTTCCTAAATAACATGCCTCCAGAAACTCTGTGAACTTTGATAAATGTTGATAGTTGTAGAAGGGCTTCCGGCCTTTTGTTCAGAGGGTTGCTATGAGTCATGATCGACTCGAAGGGAATCAACAACAACATCTATGTAGCTATCTCTCCAAACAGTCATCTGCCCATCCATCTAGCCATTCAGCCATCTGTCCATCTGCCTAACTATCCATCCATCTGCTCATCCACTCATCTGTCCATCCATCCACCTAGCCATTCATCTGTCCATCCATCCACCTACGTATCTATCTATCTGATCAGATTAAGGAAGGATTGATTAACTTAGCCAGCAGCGTTATACCTTTTTCTTGGGGCTAGCCTGACTTATGTATCTATGACACTTGCCTTACCACCAGGATTTCGTGTTGCTGTACAGTAATTATAGCCATTAACAAGCCCTGGTGGCACAGTATTTAAGAACTCAGATGCTAAATGAAAAGTTGGTGGCTGCACCTATGACCAGTCCATGGGAGAAAGATGTGACAATTTGCTTTTATAAAAATTATAGCCCTAGGGAATTCTGCACTGTCTTGTATGGTACCGTGAGTTGGAACCACTTCCATGGCACATAGCAGCACAGTCATGGATCAATTACTTATTTAAAAATATTTTTCAGTATCTGCATTCATTAATATGCATGCATATTGTTGTTGTTGTTGTTAAGTGCTGTTGAGTTGAGTACAACTCATACAAAAGATCTGAACCCTGTTCTATAACTGTTGTTTCTCTAATGGTCATAGAGTTGCCAGAGGCCTGTTATTTAAGAAGTGGATTCCAATCCTGCTTCCAGTCTTAATCTGGGAGCTCTTCCCAACCCTGTCTACCATGGGTAACCATTATGGCATTTGACACACAAGTGGCACAGCCTTCAGTATCAAAGCAACCCCAAGTTATCTCACTACAGCAAACTGACAGGCCAGTTCTGTACCACTTAGAACAATGTTCTTCACAAAAACAATTAACACTAGGACTGAGGGGCCAGCTAACTTTTATATACAAAGGCCTGCCCACCAAGTCCTGATTGAAGAGGCTTCCCTCCCAGAGCCAATTGTTAACTAAATCCAAGTGACCAATTAGCTTATACATGACTATGAATGAAATAAAACCGCCAGTTTACATCCAACTTTCAACTAAATCAAAAAACCCTACCCTCCAGAATCCAACTACCGAATATTGAGTAGGCATTATTCTAGGCATTGGGGATACAGCATTGAATAAGTAAGGGGAGAAAAACAATCCTTCTCTTAAAAAGCTTATATTATTGTGAGACAGATGGAAAATTAATACAATCCTACTGTTGTGTCTGGAGTTCTACTGCCAGCCCAAAGGTAAGCAATTTGAACCCACCAGCTGCTCCAGACGAGGAGGATGGACAGTCTCCTCCCATGTGATTGACAGTTTCTGAAAAACCACTGGAGGGTCAGGTGTGAGTCTGTTTCAACTCAACAACACGAAACCATAACAACAACAACATAATACCTGGTGGGGCTAATGAGGGCTTAGGGCCAGGTGAGCTATTTCATATATGCCGACCAAGAAAGGGCTTTTTGAGGCTGGAATTTTTGAACCCAGAACTGATTCTATTAAAGTTGGGCAGGAACATTCAGGCAGAAGAAATAGGGAGTTTCAAAGCCCAGCAGTGAGGATGAACTCAGCCTTTTTGATAAAAAAGTGTGAGGCCAAACAAGTTGGATTAGTTTGGGAGAAGAGTTGAAATTGGAGACACGTGGTCAGTTTTGAGGTTAGGAGACAGCCCAGGATGGGTTATATTTGGACTTGTGATTTGGAATGTATTTCTAGTGTAATGTCACATAGAAAGGGATCGTGTTTAAAGTATGTACATTTTCGTACTGCCCTCCCCCAAAAGGATATAAAAATCTCAGAGTAATTAATAGAAAATAATGAGCTTTTTAAAAAGTTACTGCTGTGTGCTTATCTATTCTTATTTCTCTTTGGCCTCATGAAAATTATATCACTGATGAGTGATCAAGAACTAATATTAGAGAGAATTTTCTGAAAATGGACCCAAGAATGTGTTTATATTAAGATACAGAAATAGTCTGAGAAGGTCTCCAAGTTTAGAGAAGTAAGAAATCTTGGGCAGGAAGGGAACTAGAGCTGAGTGTCCACTGCTGGCAGCAGGCTTCTTGAATGGCATGTGGGGCCAGGCAGATTAAAGCTCCCGTTTTGGTCCCTGTTTATTTTTGGGACTGGGATCCTGTTTGGAGTGAGGGAACAGGAAAGCTGGTTAAGTACTCTTCCTTACTGTTGGGAGAGCCATCCTATTCTTGTTACTGGCTTTTGGTTTCTGTTAGCTTCCCAGCCAAGCAAACCCTGGCCAGCTTCAGTTTGAGCAGGCGTCTGACTGTGGAATGGAATCTCCCACAGAGCCAGCCCTATTGGGGTCTGCAAATGTGATGTCCCAATGGGGCTCTCTCTAAAGAGATTTTTAATCTTCTGTGGAATATTAGGTAATTCATTGAAGCAGACCCAAACAACTATCTTTTTTTAACCCCTAGTGACTATACTTGGGCATCATAGTGGAGTGCATCAGTGGAATTGATCACCAAGACTAAATATTTAAAGTGTTTTAAGAAGTTGATTAAGGAACCTCCTGGCATAGTGGTAACATGTCAGGCAGCCAGAAGGTTATTCGTTTCAATCCACTAGTGACTTTAAGAAAGAAAGATGAGCCATCTGTTCCTGTAAAGATTTGCAGCCTTGAGAATCTGATGGAGGGTCACTATGAATTTTAATTGACTGGATAATAGTATTGTTGTATTTTTGATGTCAGATTTCAACCATCACCCCTAATTGTTAAAAATTATGGCATAATATATAACCCTATCAATAATGAAAAAATTGACATTTTGGTTGCTTCTTTTTTTTTTTTTAAATTTCCATTATAAGCAATGGAACGGTGAAAGCTCTTTGATGCCTGTTTTTACTGTGGTAGTTTGCATTCATACTTGTGGGGTTGCTCAGTCAACAGATATTCGTTTTTAAAATTAGAATAGATACTTGCAGATAAATATAAAAATGTGGTCATGGAATCTTAGTTAGAATTAGCTTCATCATAGTTACTTGTATTCCTCAACAGCCACGTAATATGGATAAATTATTTTGTCTAAAATTTAAAAACATACAAAGTTATATTTTGAGCTTTATTAAAATTTTTAACTTGATTTTAAATATATGAAAATTTTTATTATATTTTTATATTTTACAGAAGAATATTTGATATTCATATATTATTTGGCCCTTCTAGATTGCAGTGCAAAAAAATAGGTTGTCTGAGAGCCAAGAGAAGGCTGTGAACCTGAAAAAAGACTTGGCTGAGATGCAGGAATGGATGGCCCAAGCTGAGGAAGAGTACCTGGAAAGGGATTTTGAGTACAAGTCACCAGAAGAGCTTGAGGGTGCTGTGGAAGAGATGAAGGTGAGGCTGGGACAGTCCGTACACTAAGTTTCATACTGCCCTCTTCCTAAAAAACACTTTATCTGTCCTGCTATTCCGCCATGCACTCATATATATCTACCTGCCTCCCTATCGTATGTGATTGTATGTACGTGCAGTGTTTCATAGTAGGACTTCAAATTAAAAACAAGGAAATAGAAAGGCAGTGGATAGGGTCATTATTAGCAAATTAGGCCAACACGTTGAGTCCATGAGGACCCCCCGGGAAAGGTTTCCTATGGAATCATGGAATTCAAGTCTTTTGCGATTTGGTGTGAGGGAGAAATATATTAAAAACACCACCACCACCACCACAAGAGAGTTTTCTCAAGTGAGTGTTTTCTCATTTTCAGGTAGGATTTTACTATTTAACACACGTTGTTATTGTTGTGTACCGTTGATTTGGAACCGTCCCTTGGCAGACCCTCCAGCGGGTTTTCAGAGGCAGTTACTTGCAAGGGAGGAGACTGCCCGTCTGGCAGCTGGTGACCTTGAAACACGTGTCTTTGGGATTGCAGTGCAGCTTCTTGCCACTAGGCCACCAGCGTTCCCCGTTTAGTACACAGGAATACATTTAAGTCACAGTAAATGATGACAGTTTTAGAAAGGCTTCAGGCCTTTTGTTCATAGGGTCATTATGAGTCGTGCTCGACCCAACGACAATCAGCAACAACAAAAGCAGCAGAAAACACAGCAAATATGATCAAAGTGTCAGCTGTCTTTTGCATTAGTTCATCAGACATTGGAGTGGACTTGATGGCAACTAACAAAAACCAGTGGGAAAATAGTTAAGAAGTTTGGTGTCAGTTGGATCTGTAGGATCTAGTATCTGTAAATGTGTGTGATTTCCGTCAGTGGTCTTAGATACTCATCTATGGATGTTACGTGCCTTCCAGTCATACCTCACTCACAGCTGATGGCTGGCTGTAAGGTACATGGCAGGATATTGCCCATCTTTCTGAGAGCAGTTGGTGGATTCGAGCCACCTTCCTTTGTATTGGCAGCTCAATTCCTTACTACTAGAGCACCAGAGCTTTATATGTGTGTGCGCGCACACATGTGTGTGAATATTTACACGCATACATATTTGTGGTTGTTGTTAGCACTACTCACAGTGACTCTATGAACAAAAGGCCTGAAGCCCCTCTACGACTGTCGACATTTATCAAAGTTCATAGAGTTTCTGGAGGCATGTTGTTTAGGAAGTGGATGCCACTCCTGCTTCCAAACCTGTCATAGTATGTTATTGTTGTCAGATCCTGCTTCAAAGTATCCTTGAATTTTCAAGTCAAAATAGAAACTTTCTTAAAGAATATTTATGTATTTTTTCCCTATCTGTGAGGTTAAGCAAGACAATGAGTGTTTCTACCCCAGAATGAATATGCATAAAAGTCTAATTGAACAGAAAAATTTCTGTGTAGATATTTTTAATAGAGAACTGTATAACTACATTATAGTATAGGGAGGCTTGGTGGCTTTAATGGTAAGGAGTTGCTCTCTCAGCCAAAAGGCTTGGATTTGCATCCACCAGCAGTTCTGTGGGAGAAAGTTGGGGACTCTCTTCCCAAGTGTTTTCATTCCTCTAAAAATCTCCTAGAGAATTGGCTGTGAGTTAGTTCTCACTTGATGGCTTTAAACAACAGCTACTGCTGCATTATTGTCTGTTTTTTGTTGTTTACCATCAAGTAGGAACTGACTCATAGCTGACCCTCAGTTGGGTTTTCAGAGGCAGTTAATTGCATGGGACAAAATTGCCCCTATTTCTCCCTCAAAACAACGTTTGAATTGCATACTTTGGGCTGCGCGCACAGTTCCTTACCACTGGTCCACCAGAATAAATAAGATGAAGTACTTCTATTGAAACTGTAGAATTTCCAGGGAAATATTTTATTAAATGCAGTATTTTTTTTTAAACCCTTTATTTAAAAGAAAATCTGGTGGCCTAGAGGCAAGAAGCTGTGCTGCAATCCCAAAGGCACACGGTTCAGGGCCACTAGCTGCTCTGGAGGAGAAGGTTGGGTAATCTCCTTCTGTGCAGTTAACTGCCTCTGAAAACCTGCTGGAGGGTCACCCTATGGATCGGTTCTGACTCCCCAGTACATAACAGTAACTGTGGCAAGGTTTTTAAAAGGTATCTTATGTAAACAATAATTAGAATGTATTTATTCTCTTCCTTTAGACTATTAGTAACTGAGTTTTGTGGGGTGGTTTTTGGTTTTCCCAAGTCACTGGAGTTGACAGAGTAAAGGACTAGACAGACATTAAAGTCCTTGGATTGTTAACATTATTGATTATTTTTTATTCTGAATACTCATTAGGATTTTTAAAATTACCATACACTTCCCTCCCCCACCCCCCTTTTTAATGGAAAACTAGCCAGCAACCAAGAAAGCTAAGAGGGAGAGTGAAAAGACCTTCAGAAGTTGGTGTTTCTGGATATGAAATAATTTATGTTGGGCAGAAAGGGTAAGTCAGGGAAGAAGCTGTGTCTGGATGAGACCTTAACCAGTGTTTGATACCGTCTTTGTAATGCTAATTATCAGAAGAATAGCTATATCTACATCCAAGAGGAATAAAAAAATACGGCTTAAATTTTTTGAGAAAAATTTTATGATATGGTAGTAATAATAATGGTTCTAACTGCAATTTTTGTGGAAAATTTGTTTACATGTCTGAGATATTCAGGACAATTAAGAGCTAATTCTCTTCAGTTTTCATCTGGACCTGGAATTTGACAATAATTTGTGGTTTTGACATGATTTCGGATAATTTATGTTAACACTGGTTGTTAATAAATAAAAAATACTTGGTTAGACCCTGCAACTAATTTATAGAATGCATGGAATATTATAGTTAGCATTCTTACTTTTAACAAAAAGTACATATGGGCTACTGAAAGGGAGAGAGCTTTCAAGTTCATCCTTTCTTGGAGCAGAGGGCAAAAGAGGACGTGCTGCAGAAGGAGGTGCGAGTGAAGATTCTCAAGGACAACATCAAGCTGTTAGCTGCAAACGTGCCCTCTGGTGGCCAGGAGCTGTCATCTGAGCTCAGTGTTGTGCTGGAGAATTACCAACTTCTCTGTAACCGGATTCGAGGGAAGTGCCACACGCTGGAGGTACGTACGCCATAGCTTTGTTTGGTTTTGATTGATGTATGTTTGGAGATTGAGGCTCTGTGATGTACTACCCAGCCTTGCAGGTTTCCTCTAAAAGATAAAATATTAAAGCCAGATGAATCTGTTTTTATTATTTTGGGAAAACCTTACTAGATTTTTTTTTAAGTTATTTTAAGTTCTGGATCATAAAATAAAAGGAAAAGGGGATTAAAAAAAATAAAGACGAGGGTCTATCCTCAAGTAATGGAAGGTTCTTGAATAAATCAGTTATTTAATTTCAGACTTCATTTTTTATACATGAATTTCTCAATAATTTAACTCATTCCTCCCTTATTTTGGATCTTGTTTTGTGCTAAGATAAAGATTTCTATTTGAGACTTACTAACAAGGAAGGTGGTGTTGCGGAAGGGGACTGATCATCCCATGGACTACCAGAAGAGCAGACAAGTATGTACTGGAGAAGGTGCAGCCAGAGTGCTCTTTGGAGGCAAAGATGATAAAGCTTAGCCCTACATACATTGGGCGTGTTACTAGGAGGGTCTCTTTCTTGGAGAGCGGCATGATTCTCAGAAAGATAGAGAACTGGAGAAGGAGAGGAAGACTTTTGGCCAGGTCCCTTTGACATGGTGACTGCTGCAATGGGCTCAAATGTCTTAGGAAGTGTGAGGATGGCACAGGATAGGACAGGGTTTAGATCCATTGTTCATAGGGCCGATATGGGTCATTTCCGACTTGACAGCACCTAATAACAATAACAAAAAGAAGTTACCATTTATATAGTCTGCATATTTTATATTTCTTATATTCAGCATTTTACTGAGTTGTCTAACGTAAAACACAAGAGGCTATTCATTTGAGAATTAAAATTATCTTGACCATATAATATGACCTATAGCTAAAGTTACATACTAATGAATGATCTTGGCATGGAATTTTACTACAATCTTAACCATGCTTTTGTTCCTAGAGAAACCATCCTTGATATATAGTCTTTTTTGTTTGTTCTGTTCTTTTCTAGCCAAAGCAGCAACTCGTTATACATTTCAATAATGAATGGAGTCCCTAAATTAGTCTCAGACTAACAAAGGTCTGCTCTGTGTTCTGTGCCATTTCTTCAGACTATCTTTGGCTCTCAAAGATGGTAATGTTCAAAATGAGGAATGAAATAAGTGTTTGAAGGTTTGGAATTACTTTGAAAATTGCTGTTGGAATTGGTAATTATTTTGAGAAACTTTTCTTTGAGAGAACAGAAAAAGTGTAAGAAAAAGTAATAACAGAAGAGAGATGAGACATTGATGTCTTTAGAAGAGGGGAAAAATAAGTGGCATTTAAAGATGGAAATATTCTTATAATTATGTCAGTAGTTACTGAAGAATCTTGGGAAAGAACAAGCCAAATTTTTAAATTAGGAAAAAATGAATTCATCATGCCAGTTTTCTTTAAAATACTTTTAAGTGCAGACGTTTCAAATTTGCTAAAGAGTATACATAATTTGACAAATATCTTTATGTACAGTTCTCTAGATTTAACTAGGCCCTCGATTTGAATTTTGTTTTGTGGAGAAAGATGGGCAGTGTCCTCCTATGTCATTAGCTGCCTCTGAAAATCTGCTGGAGGGTCAGTTCTGACTTGACAGTATTCAACAACAACAACAGGTGCAGGAGAATGATGAGCAGTCTCCTCCTGTGTGATTTACAGCCTCTGAAAACTCTCTGGAGGGTCATAGGATGAATTCATATGACGCAAAAGCACATTAACAACAACAGGTGTCATTAGAGACAACTTCTGGTGATCTGATCCTTAGGGGGTAGCACACAGATAACCCAAAGCCTGCACCTCTCTGATGGTTCCTATTCACCAGAGGCTCCTTGGGAGAAAATGTGTTCTCTCGTCTGTTTTCATTTAGCCTTGGAAAACCAGTGAAGGCTCAGCTATGAATTGGCTCTAAGCTGAGAGCAGTGAGTGAGAGAGATAATGAACGTTAACATTTTACCATTGTTTTAAATGAGACAGATTATCATTACACTCAGCTTCTTTCCTTTCCTCTCATTCCCTCTCTCTGTTCCTTCCTTGAAGCCAACATCCGAAGTTGGTTCTTCTTGTCACTGTGTTCATGTTTTGACCGCTCACCCATACGCCTCAGTTGTCTCTTGGTAGGTAAGAAGCCACTGACAGAAGTTGTCTCGTGGCAGACAGCAGCACGCCACTCCTTCACGTGATCCTGTGGGTTGATTTGGCTCGGCCCGTGGCTGTCCTGGTCTCTCTGGGAGCCGCCTTGCAGGTCATTCATGTAGAAGCGTCCAGGTGGAGTTCAGCGGGGACTGTCGGGATGGCCTCTCATCCCCCAGCATCTGGTGTTTAGGAGAGGGATAGCAGACGCTGCCCAGTTTTGCTTTCTTCCTTGTAAATATGGTTATTTATGGTTTTAGTATTATGTTTACCCAGCAAATTAGGTCCCCATTTAACAACGACTCCTCAGATTTTTCAGGAACATGGGTTACATTTTTCATAATGTATCAACATTCTCATTAATTCTTTTGGGGGGTTTCCTTTCTAGTAATCTCATTTCCTTGTCCCCTCCCACCTTCATTCTTTGCTTGACAGTTATTGTTGAGCATTTGGTTCTCATGGAGATCAATTTTAAGCGAGTGATACACTCACAGGTAATGTTCTTTATGTTATGAACCAACCTAGTAATTTAGCTCAGCTGCCTAGAATTTGGCAAAGCATCATCTCTATAGCGTGTGTTGTGTTTTTTGTTTTGTTTCTGGGGTTTTCCCCCCAAATTAGTTATGGAAAGGCAGTAGGTCTTTTGTTCACAGAGTCGCCACGAGTTGTGCTCTACTCGATGACATTCATCAACAACAACAGTCTTAAACCCAACCTGGATTCTAAGAAAGGAGACATTTGCCTCACTTTTTGATGGCCGTGGTGAATAGTTACATGTTAGACTTGTTAAGATTTATAGCCTTGGCAACCCACCAGAGGGACACCGTGAGGCGGAAAGGAGTCCACAGCACTGGGCTGACTTTAGGTTCTGGTTTTAATCTGCATTTCTTTGTCCAGAGATTCGGTCCATCCCTTCTCCATGCAGAATGCACTCCCATGCTCCCAAAGTCTCCCACATCTTATCTAAGAGCACATCGTGTTCAAAATCCAACACCTTGTTATCTGTGCCGAGTCAAAGCACCTGTGGCTCCTCAGCACAGTTTCCTGAGGTGCACGTGTTCGGGGCTGGCACCTGTTCTATCAGAATCCAGGATACGAAGATCTTACGTGTGCCACTCCTTCCTAGCATGCAGTAGTGAGAAGGGAGCAGGAAATGTCAACAAGCGCCTGTTCAGAGAGGTGCAGGGAGGAGTGGAGGACCAGGAGGGCCCCGGGTCACTGTCATTCAGGGTCCCTCACTGCTGCTTGACTGGGGACGAACCAGCTCTGTTGCCTGGGCGCGGTTGTCTGATGTATCTATGAGTGCTGATGGCATAGTCCGTAGGGAGTTGTTAACCCAGAAGTTGGCCATGCCGCTCTGGTGGCTCAAATTCTCCAGTGACTTGATCTGAGGAAGACAGGCAGGCTCCTCTGTGATTTAATCTCCCCAAACCCACTGGAGGGTCCTCCAAGAGTTGGCTCTGATTCTACGACCATGACTGAGTGAGACTGTGCTTGGTAGCTGAATAGAACACACCCTCTTTTAGTCTGAGCTAGATCAGCTGACCACATCTGGCCCAGCCTAGCTTTGAATGTGTACAAGCTAAGAATTTGTTTTCATATTTTTATATGGAATTGGTATTTTTTTTAAGGATTGTAGAACAAAAACCCCAACCCCAAAGAAAGAAGTATCTGTGAGAGATGATGAGTGTGGTCCATAAAATCGAAAGTATTTACTGTCTGTTTCACTGAAAGAAATTTAGCTTTAAGTCTGGTAAACATAACTCAAGTGGATATACCTTCTTGCAGTCAGCAGATACCAAACTGAGTTGATTCTTCAAAATTAACTCATTATATTAGTTCTTCCTATTTGGGGTAAGGGAACGGTCAACATGGTTACACGTTGATCAGAAAGTTGGTGATTTGGGTCTACCAGTCATTCTCTTGGAGAAAGCTGGCCAGTAGTCCATTGGGAGTTGGACTGCTGACCCCAAAGCAAAGACTCCGTGGAGGTTCAAGTCCACCATCAGTTCTACAGAAGGAAAAGGGGAATCTGCTCTTGTGAAGTTTACAGCTTCCAGAAAGGGAAGAGGCAGGGATAAGGAGGTATTATTTAAGTAGAGTATAAATGTGTCCCAGACGTATGGAGATGGTGGGAGTGGGGAACGATAGATTGCAGCTAACACAGTGGGTGTGCGATGATTCCATTTGATTAAAATGTGGCTTGCTTCATATACCACAGGTCTAGGTAAATGTGTTGGGAAGTTGGTGCAGCAAATCACTGACCTTGACTTTTAGTTGGAATAGAATAAATGCTAGGGGATAATTGTTTAAAAGAATTACAAGTGTGAGTCATTTTTACCTGTCGAAAAGGGAGCTGGGGCGGCTTAGTGGTGGAGAGTCATCCTGCGTGCCCTGATCGACCAGCTGCTCGGCAGGAGAAAGCTGGCCAGGGTCCTCCCTTCCTGTCCACATTCACATCCTCTGAGAATTCACTGGAGGGTCAGCCATGAAGCTTTTTCCCAACTTGATGGTATATACAACAACAATATTGCTTTTAAACACTTAAAAAGCAAAATTATAAAAACTACTTGTGTTCTTCTGATTAAATAGGTTGTTTTGGACATTTAAGTCTGTTTCTTGGATTTATTTTTATGTGAAGAGTGAGGTAGTATTTATTGCCTCCCCTCTGTCCCTGCCGGTGGTTAACATGATTTATTTCACAGTTCCGTTTAATTTCTCCCGGAGTCTAACTTCATCAGTCTCTGGATTCTCACCTCTCCTCAAGTCTCAGTGGCATTATTGTAGATGAGAGAAGCCGAGGCACTAGGCCAGCGGCTCCTGAATGAACTCATTCTCATTTAAACTTGTCCCCACTGCTCCAGGAGGTCTGGTCGTGCTGGATCGAACTGCTTCATTATTTGGACCTGGAAACCACCTGGCTCAACACACTGGAAGAGCGGATGAAGAGAACGGACGCTGTGCCTGAGAAAGCAGATGCTGTCAATGAAGCACTCGAGGTGGGAGTCGAGTGATTAGTGCCGTTTCCTGTTGGTACCATGAGGTTGGGTGTGTGAAAATGAGGGCCATGATGCTTTACACCCACAGACACTGTTGCTTCCTCAGAAGTTTTCATGGGACTGGTGTTTTCTGCTGTAGACTGAAATCCTTACATTATCATGTTAATGCTGGAAGGTTGGTGTGGCCTAATGTCTTAGAAAAGGTGTAACACTAGTCATTTTCTAGTTTGTTTTACTCACACTTGGATGCAGCTTGTCTCAGTGGCATGGTCGTTAAACAGTTGGATTGCTGATTTGTACCTAGCTCCAGAGTGAGAGGGAGAGGGGAGAGCGGGGGAAGGCCCTGGAAATAAGGCCCAGTGATCTGCTTCCAAGACACCATCCATTGAAAGCCCTGTGGAGCGTGATTCTACTTTTCTGCCCACCGGACAGCCATGAGTTAGAATTGTCTCCGTGACATCTATTGTAATAAGTCAGTTACAAATGTCCAAATTTCAGGATCTGGGTGCTTTCCTGGCACAGAGATCTACATCAGTTCTTCAGTAAATGTGTCAGAATGAGAGACGGGAAGAGTGAAAAATAGAACAGTATGGTCTTATAAAAGCAAAAATCAATGTTTTCCTGATAGGAGAGTTCATAATTACACATTTTAAAAATAAAGAATTGAGAAAAGAAAGTATACAGAGTACTCTAGGATAAAACTTTGACACACTTCGATCTGTTTCGTTATGGACTAAGAATTTCTTACAGTGTGTGTCCGTGAATAGATGAACCATTGTATTCACTGCAGCAATGATTTTAGTTCACAAAGACATGTGTTAAAATCTCGAGTCCCTTTTTGCCTCTTTACCTGTGTGTTGGTCGTCAAGTTACTTAAGCCCTCAGACCTTCCCTCTTCTCATCTGTAAAATGAACATAATATGTTAGCCCACATTGATTGATTAGATTTTTGCATATAAAAAATAGGAATGTAAATCAGAGCTAAACACACTGAATATGTTGTAGAAAATGTGGACTTATTTTTGGTATTATGTTCAATGGTATAATGAAATAATTTTTATTTATTTATAAAATTATTGAGATAGTTGCGATAATTTTGCTTTTCATGATATTGTTGTACTGTTGAGTTGGAACTGACCCATAGCTGACCCTCTGGTGGGTTTTTAGAAGCAGTTAATCGCCTAGGAGGAGGAGATTGTACATCCTTCTCTAGCGGAGGAGATGGTGGGATTTGTACTGTGCCTTTGGGATTGCAGGGCAGCTTCTTGCCATTAGGCCACCAAAGCTCTTTTCATGATACTCTTTTCATTTATACTTTGTATCATATTATGAGCCTGCCCATAAAGGATTAATTTTTTATTTGTAGCTCATCATTTGTTTCGAGGTCGTCCAAATTATGCACATATTAATGCTATAGTGAATTTTTTTTATGAGTTAACCATTTATCTTTTTTTTTTGCGCTATATTTCTAAAGGAGGAAAATACTTGGTTGAAATAACAGAGAATTTTTAGAATCCTGTGTATCTATTTTTCTTTCTCACTGAGTTAATTTTCTTCCCTTCTTTTCCAGTGTCTGGAATCAGTTCTGCGTCACCCGGCTGATAACCGCACCCAGATTCGGGAACTTGGCCAGACTCTGATAGATGGTGGTATCCTAGATGACATCATCAGTGAGAAACTGGAGGCGTTCAACGGCCGATACGAGGAGCTGAGCCACCTGGTAAGAAGCGACATGTGCATCAGAGTTGACCGGGAATTAATGATACCATGTTGACATCAAGGAAGGGTAAACGTTGATGACTCCCAGCAGTAAGATATAGAATTACTAGGTGGACAGTGCGGTATAGCATTTAAAAGGCAGGTAGAATCTTCTGGTTTAAAAGAAAATCTGTTTTTTAAATCGTTTATTCTTGTAAACAATTTCATTTCTTTCAACTTGCTGCCTTAGAATCAGTTCTTACTCCTGACAAATCTCCACCAGGCTAAGAACCAACAGGGCAGGAGTGTGAGTCTACCAGTCATCCCACGAGAGAAGGAGTTACAGCTTCAGAAACCCAGTGGGAGTTCACTCTGAGTTGGAACCAAATTGGCAGCAGTGGGTTTGGTTTTAGGATTTTTTAATAACATATCGAGGGATTTAGATAAAATTGTGCATTATATAATATGTAATAATAATAATAATAATAATAATAATAATTGTTTTTCAATTGTTTATGAGAATGGTAATTCACAGTTTCCTAATAAATAGTAGGACCATCAGGGTTCAGTGTAGCTGCTGTGAATATGCACAATCCCTTAGCTTCCTCTCCAGGATATACTGCAACAGACATATTCTTGTCAGGAATTAGAGAGCTGAGACTGTTCTGTTCTAGGAGAGGTGGGTGGATAGGAGAAGCTTTATAACGTGTATGAAATAATAACCGTCTGTGTTTTAGTTATGAATAACATCAAGCTTGATCAAATCTGCAGCAAATAGTGGTTTGCCACACTTGAACATTTATAGAACTTGTTTTAGATTTTTGCATAAAGAGGATTCAGATGTCAGTTGATGTGCCTTTAATAGATATTCTTACTTTACCATAAATTTATTTTATTGTTGCTGACAGTATATCCAGGAAAACCTAAACCACTTTGGTAATTTCTCCGTGTTAACTTTAGTGACTTTGGTTACTTTCAGTTGTGTATCCGATCCCCTTTGACTTCATAATGAACGTCTCTGTCTTCAAGTAGTGCTCACATGGTCTCTCTCTGTTCACTGGGGCCGGAGGATCAAGATGTTCCTATATTCAGCTATTTATATTTGTGCCGTGCAACTAATGACTAAATTCTCCCGTGTGTAGGCAGAGAGCAAGCAGATTGCCTTGGAAAAGCAACTGCAGGTCCTGCGAGAAACTGACCACATGCTTCAGGTCCTGCAGGAGAGCTTAGCGGAGCTGGACAAGCAGCTCACCACTTACCTGACGGATCGGATAGATGCCTTCCAAGTTCCGCAGGAAGCCCAGGTATTGTCAGGGATTTGAGGGATTTTGCGTTGTAAAGAAAATGTATCCAGTGACTTCTTTAACCTCAGGCAAGCTCTTCCTGCTATCCAAAGAAGTGGGGAATTAGTGAGAAAGATTGACCTTTGTTTGGGGCAATCTCCTGGGTTTTGGCATTCTTTTTCTCTCTGTATGAGACCCTGGCAAACCACTCAAATCCTAAAACTATAGTTTACAGATGACAGTGGAACAGTTGTGTGTTTAAATAAATAAGCTGTGAGCATTAGAAATGATAAATGTGGGGTCTCTGTAATGTGCACAGCACTTAGTAGTCCTGCAATCAGTGTAACTTACCATCATCCTTGTTATTATTTTACTGAGAACGAATTACAGCTTCGAAATAAAACCACCATTGTTTCTGATTCATGGTGACCTCCTGCACATCCAATTAAAACTATTTTGTTGAGTTTTTAGTTGGTGGGTTTTCAAAAGAATATTGCCAGTGCTTTTCCCCAAACAACTTTGGATTGACTTAACCTTACGTTAGTAGCTAAGCACACCAGCCAGGGATCCCAGTGTTGTTGATGTTCTGTCGAGTCACAATGCACTCGTCCTGTAAGGAGGATGTAAATTGCATGAGAGGAGACTGCCCATCTTTCTTCCTTGGAGGATTTGAACCACCTGCCATTGGGATAGCAGTGCAACTCCTTCTCCATTAGGTCACCAGAGCGCCCTACGAGGGACCCTGGTAAAGCGTATTGATCATAGTTGCAGTTGAGTCATCTCTGGCTCATGGACATCTTATGTTTAATGCAAGGAGGCATCGCCAAGCTCTGGGCCATTTCCATGGTCTTTGATATGTTTGAACCTGTGTAGCTGTTGTGCCCATCTGTTCCCCCTTGCAGGTTTCCCTCATTTTCACGGACCTGCCACTCTGCCTAACGTAATGTGCCTCATTTGTCTTTCCTTGTGATGATCCTTATTTAGGGGTCACGCTATTTTAATTATTATAGGATTATATGGAACTTTTCTTTCATTCCTTCTTGTTGTTGTTATGTGCCATCGAGTCACCAAGACTCACAGTGACCCTGTGTACAATGCCGTAAGCCCTGCTCTAGCCTGTGCCAGTCGTATTGTTTCTGACACACCTGCCCCCACTACCCCAGTCACTGAATTGATCCATCTCATCAAGGGTCTTCCTTTCCTGCGCTGTCCCTTCAGCCTCCCAAGCATGATGTCCTTCTCCAAGGACTGATCCTGCCTGAAGTAACATGTCTGAAGTATGTGTCAGACGAAGCTTCTGAATCCTTGCCTCCAAGAAGCAGCCGGGTCTCACCCTCTCCAGGACAAACTTGTTCTCTTAGCAGTCCATGGTATATTCAATACTCTTCTCCAGCACCACAGCTCAAAGACATCAATTAGTTTCTGTATTTGTTTCAAAAAGACTCTCTCTTTGTTCTCATCTTTGTAAGAAAATCCAAGCCGAGATTTCAGCCCACGAGCTCACTCTAGAAGAGTTGAGAAGAAGCATGCGCTCCCAGCCGCCGACCTCCCCAGATGCCCGGGCCGCCAGAGGAACCTCGCAGATGGATGTGCTGCAGGTGAGGACTCAGAGCTGCCTTATGCCCTTCAATATGCTTGGCAGGTGGAGCAGCATGGAAGGAGTGGGCTGCTTGCATGTCTTTGATATTTGGTTTGGTATCAGCAGTGGACTGAGAGAGCTTTGTCAGAGGCATCATTTACTCCGGGATACAGAAACAAATAGTTGTGTGAGGAGAAAAATCTTCAGTCTGCATTTTGTTGTTCTGTTGATAAGAGAAAGCCACAGAGAGACAGAAAAAGGGAGAATGCTAGTTTTAGAAGTGTTTTTCTGTGTTGTTGTTGAGTGCCATTGAATTGCTTCCAACTCATAGGAAACTCTATAGGACATGCTCCAGAGGGTCTTCTTGGCTTTAATCTTCTCTTAAAGCTTGTGTTTCTTTTGTTGTTGAGAATCTATCTATGCAGCAGAGCACACATGAGTTCAGAAGGATGCAAGGAAATGAAAATCACAAGGCAGAAGCTGGAAAAATGCTGCTGCTACAGTGTGTGTGGAGGAACTCTAAATAACATCACACAGCAAAAGCTGTATGAATGCTTGTGTGGAAAACTCATTTTCTCTGTAAACTTGCACTGAAAAGACTGTAAGAAGCTTTAAGAAAAGGAAACTGTAAAAAAAGGAAACACGTAACACACCAGTTTCTACTCGTACAATTAGTGAATCTACTGCATTATACAAGTGATGTCCTGTTCTCACCTCTGAGACCTTTATAGTTTTAGTTTTTATTATTTGGTGTGTGCACACCGTCAAATTGGAGCTGACTGGTACAGGAGGAGATTGCCTCTCCTTCTCCAGCAGAGCATCTGGTGGATTTGAACCATGTACCTCTGAGATCCCTTTGAACTGTGGTGCTGGAGAAGAGCATTGAGAGTACCATGGACTGCTAGGAAAACAAACAGATTAATCCTGGAAAGGGTTAAACTGGGTGACTCCTTGGAGGCAAGGATTCTGAGGCTCCGTCTAACATACTTTGGACATGTTGTGAGGAGAGACCGGTCCTTAGAGAAGGTATCATGCTTGGGAGGGTGGAGGGACAGTGCAGGAGGGGAAGGCCTTCTATGAGGTGGATTGATTCAGTGACTGGAGTAATTGGGATGGGTGTGTTGGAGACAGTGAGGTTGGCACAGGACAGAGCAGAGTTTAGGGCTATTGTACATAGGATCGCTATGAGTTGCAAGCAACTCGACAGCACATAACAACAACAACAACAACAACAGCAACAACAACAACAACAACAACAACAACAACAACCTCTAAGATTGCAGTGCAGCTTCTTGCCACTGGTCCATGTTGTTGTTGTTGTTGTTGTTATGTGCCGTCGAGTCATTTCCGACTCATAGCGACCCTATGCACAACAGCCCTAAACCCTGCTCTATCCTGTGCCAACCGCACTGCCTCTGACACACCCATCCCTATTTCCCCAGTCACCGAATCAATCCATCTCATAGAGGGTCTTCCCCTCCTGCGCTGTCCCTCCACCCTCCCAAGCATGATGTCCCTCTCCAAGGACCCGTCTCTCCTGTCAACATGTCCAAAGTATGTCAGACGAAGCCCCAGAATCCTTGCCTCCAAGGAGTAGCTTGGTTTAATCCTCTCCAAGACAAATCCGTTTGTTTTCCTGGCAGTCCATGGTACATTCAGTACCCTTCTCCAGCACCACAGCTCAAAAGCATCCACTCTCCTTCTGTCCTCCCTAGTCACTGTCCAACTCTCTGATGCATAACAAGTGATTGCAAATACCATGGCCTGTATCAAGCGCACCTTAGTCTCCAGAGAGACACTGTTGCTCCTGAGTACTTTAGAGAGGTCCCTAACAGCAGACTTTCCCATCGTGATACGCTTTTTGATTAGTTTTTATATCTAGGTCTTAAATACATACTGAACTGGTTTTTCTTAGTTTGGGTTTTTTTTTTTTTTTGGTGTTTTTCCTTGTTTTTGCACTGTGTGAAGAAAGAACTATTAACATTTTTTTGTTACATTTTCTCTAGTACCATTTATTTGAGGAGACTTTTCTTTCTTCTTCATTGGACTTAGCAATTTCATTAAAAAAAAATACCCTGTTCATAGATTTATTATGTGGAGTCTCAAACTTATTATATTCCTTTGGTCTGTATATCTATTCTTATATAAGCCCCAGACTGTTTTGATTAATGTAACTGTGGAGTTGTTACTGTTTTGATTAATGTAATTGTAGAGTTGTTGTTGCCTGCCCTTGACCCTCCAGTGGGTTTTCAGAGTCAGTTAATGACATGGGAGGAGATTGCCCATCTTTCTCCCAGGGAGCAGCTGTTGGATTCGAACCACACACTTTCAGGATTGCAGCACAACTTCTTACCATAAGGAATTATGAGTGCTCTGACTCTATTCTGCTCATGTGATGTTTCTTTAGCTAACTGAAGACTCTTGCTGTTCCATAGAAGTTCAAGTTTGGTTTTTCTGTTTCTTAAAGAAAGTTGTTGGGATTTTTGATCAAGGTTGCACTGAGTCTACAGATCAGTTTCTGTAATATTGTTTTGTTCAGATGAGTAAGTTTTTAAACTCATGAATATGCAGTGTCTCTTCATTTGGGCTCTTATTGCTGTGGAGAAGATTGAAAGATCTTCCTCCCGAAAAGCCCCCAGAATGCTTGAACTGCCAACCTGTTGACTGTCCGACTTTTTATTTGATATAGAGCACTTAGTATTTGGGTAGTTGGCACACTAGACAGGCTGGACATGCGTGATCTGTAATAGTGACTGACTTATTGTTAATATGACATTCTGAATATGACAAACTATGTGTGCTTCAATCTGAACTCAGAATGAAAGTCATTTTGAGTTCTAAATTCCTGTGGAGCATATTTTTAAAATAAGTGAGGAAGTTCATGATCTTTTCATTCTAGAGAAGCCAGCTTAGTCTTTGTTCTTTTCACGTCACTCTGGGAATTGGACTGTAGGTACCATTAACCCGGGTGATCCTGTAAACTTACCACATTTTTTTCCGGGCATTTTTGTCATGCTATTGCATGCTTTTACTCGTGCTTTATTTTGCAGCTTTTTGAAAAGCAGTATTTGTTATCCTGATATCATCTAAGAAGACAGATTCTCCTTCTGATATGAATTGTTTGTTCTTTTCACGTCTGTCAACAGAGGAAGCTTCGAGAGGTGTCCACAAAGTTCCAGCTCTTCCAGAAACCTGCGAACTTTGAACAGCGCATGCTTGACTGCAGGCGCGTGCTGGACGGGGTGAAAGCAGAGCTGCATGTCCTGGACGTGAAGGATGTGGACCCCGATGCCATTCAGACCCACCTGGACAAGTGCATGGTGAGGCTGTGGGTGGCTAGCATGCCCTCGAGTTTTCCAGTAGCTAAGACTAGTGTGTATGTGTATATGTTCAGCTCAACACTTGTCTACATAGGAATCAATTGGAGGAAAACAGATTTAAATTGAGAACTGTGTCCCTTCCCTGTCCCCCACCCCCCGTGGAATTTAGAAAAGATAGGAGAAATTAAAACCAAATGATACCGATTGCTGTTAAGTAGATTGTGATTCAGGATGCATGCTGTCATAGACCCTTGGGTTTTCAGTGTCAGAGTTTTTTAAATGCATCAGCAGGATGTCCAAAGTGTGTATGAGCGGATTCAAAGCTCCAACCTTTTGGTTAGCAGTCAAGCATTTAACCACTTCTAGAACATTTAATCGTGCTAATGCGAAACCTATACTTGGACCAAGAGGCAGTCGTCAGAACAGAGCAGGGCAACACTGAAAGGTTCAAAATTGGGAAGGGTGTGCGCCAGGGTTGTGTCTTATCTCCATACCTTTCAACCTGTATGCAGAGCAGATTATCCGAGAGGCTGGGCTCTATGAGGAGAAGGCTGGCATTAGGATTGGTGGAAGATCTATCAGCAGTCTGCGTTATGCAGATGACACAACCTTGCTCGCTGAAACTGAGGAGGACCTCATGCACTTACTGCAGAGGGTCAAGGACTGCAGCCTTCAGTATGGACTGAAGCTCAATGTCAAGAAGACAAAGATTCTCACCACTGGATCCATTGGTAACATCAGGATGGATGGCGAAGAGATTGAGATTGTTCACAGCTTCAGTTTGCTCAGCTCCACAGTCAACACTCTTGGCACCAACAGCCAGGAAATCAAAAAACATATTGCGATGGGAAAGTCTGCTGTTACGGACCTCTCCAAAGTACTCAAGAGCAAAAGTGTCTCCTTGGAGACGAAGGTGCACCTGATACAGGCCATGGTCTTTGCAATCACTTGTTATGCATCATAGAGCTGGACAATGACTAGGGAGGACAGAAGGAGAATTGACGCCTTTGAGCTGTGGTGCTGGAGAAGAGTATTGAATGTACCATGGACTGCCAAGAAAACAAACAGATTCAGCCTCGAGAGGGTTAAACCAGGCTGCTCCTCAGAGGCAAAGATTCTGGGGCTTCGTCTGACATACTTTGGACATGTTGCAAGGAGAGATGGGTCTTTGGAGAGGGACATCATGCTGGGTAGAGTAGAGGGACAGCGCAGGAGGGAAAGACCCTCTATGAGGTGGATTGATTCAGTCACGGGTAATCGGGATGGGTGTGTGAGAGGCAATGCGATTGGCACAGGATAGAGCAGAGTTTAGGGTAGTGGTACATAGGGTCGCTATGAGTCGCAAACGACTTGACGGCACATAACAACAACAACAACCACAACCATCACCAAGTATAATGAGATAAGGGAACTAGAGTAGAACTTCATACTAAATGATTAAGGGAAACACAAAAAAGAGGAATCTCACCAGAACCATAGTGTCAATACTTCTGGCAGGATATGACTTTTTTTAAAAAAAATTTATTTTATTGTGATTTTAATGAAAGTGTACAGAAAAGTTGGGTTTTCATTTATTCATTGTTGCACATTTTCCTCCCTTCCCCTTTCCCCAGTTAACTTATTAGAACTTAGAATTTTTTTGTTGTACTTTTTTGCCCTCTCTCTCCTTCCCCTTCTCCAGTCCACACAGTAGTTCACCCCTTGTTCTAGATTCTTTTGTAACTAATCATATATTCCTTTTGCACAGTTGTTCTTCTCATCTGTTCTACTACAGTGTTCTTTATCTATCCACTCTTATCCCATTCTGTGTCCACCCCCAACCCTCTGTGTCCTATTTTATAACAGTGGTGCTATACAGTATTTATCCTTTTGTGACTGAGATATGTCACTCAGCATAATGTTCTCCAGGCTTATCCATGTTGTGTAATGCTTTATGCGTTCATTGTTTTTCAGTGCTGCATAATATTTTCTTGTGTGACTGTACCATAGTTTTTCTAACCATTCATTTGGTTTGGGGCATTTGGGTTGCTTTCATCTCTTTGCTTTTGTGAATAATGCACAATAAACACGGTGTGCATACATCTGTTTGAGTTGTGACTCTGGTTTCTTTAGGGTTTATTCCAGAAAGTAGAATTGCTGGATCAGATAGTATGTCTATTTCCCACGTTTTAAGAAAGCCGCAGACAGCCTTCCATATAACCTGTTCCATTTCACACTGCCACCAGCAGTGAATAAGAGTTCCAGTCTGTCCACAGCCTCACCAGTATTTGCTGTTTGCTGTCCTGTAGAGCTTTGTTATTGTTGCTGAGGTGAGATGATATCTCAAGAGTTGTTTTAGGTTATGACTGTTGAGGTAAGTTTTAAAGAAGATATTAGACTGGATATCAGTAAACAGTAATACTGTGGGAAGAGTGGAGGGAGAATGTTAATATATTTTTTTTACAAGTAAAAAGAAAATTATTCTCTAAAAAGTAAAATGCTCTAATTTATAGAGTTTAGACCTAAAACATGAAAAAGAAATTATATTTAAAATGAAAGTCAGACATACCAGTGTATAAAAATTGTCCCTAGTACTTCTCTTGTGGTTCAGATCCACCAATGATTCTCTGGGGAAAAGACAAGCCTTCTTCCCTCATGTGATTTATAGCTGCTGAAAACTCATTGAAAGGTCAGGTCTGTGTCACTTCAGGCTCAACAGAAATGAGTTTTGAGGATTTATACAGTGTAAAATATGAAAATAAATGATATACGAGACCTGGCTGTTTTAATCTTGAAATTCACAGTTCAGTTGAATATAAGTTTAAATAATGTGGCTAGGAAGACACAATCTTAGGGCTGTTTTTGAGAATTATAAAGTTAAGGTGATGCTCATTTGTGTTTGATTAAAACAAGAGACATCTGGGAAGAGGTCTGTTTCTCAAAACTACATTGCCATGTCTCTGTTAATATTGAGCTGGAATGTTATTTGTGTGTATGTGTGTGTGTGTGTGTGTGTGTGTCTATGTATGTATGTATATGTGTATATGTGTGTATATATATATATATATAGGATTGCTATGAGTCGCAAATGACTCCATGGCACATGACAACAACAGCATATATATGTATGTGTGTGTGTGTATATGCAAGTGCCTATTGTATGTGTGTATTTGGATATAGTAGTAAACAAAGCAAAGCAAACCCTGCCCTTGACCTTATGTAACAGTCCAGTGATCTGTTAGATGATAGTGTACGATATTTTATGTTAAGACTAAAATACATAGATACAAGAGAATTTGGCCAACATAATATTTTTTTTAATAAAAATAGCCCTGGTGGTACAGTGGTTAAATGTTTGTCTGCTAACAGAAAGGTCGGTGATTTGAAACCACTCAGCTCTCCACAGGAGAAATTGGTGGTAGTTGGCTTCATATAAAGATTTAGTCTTACAAACCCCACGAGGCAGTTCTGCTCAGTTTTGTAAAGTAGCTGTGAAGCTGAATGGACTCTATGGAATAGAGTGAGAATTTGTTCTCTGTGAATCTATGAATTTGATCTTCAAGATTCTGCTTTCTCATTGTCCTGTATGTCTTTTATTTGTTGAGTTTTGTTTATTTTTAAATATGTAACTAGTATACACCGAACATAGTAGACTTGATACTTTACAGAAATATAATGAAAAAAATAATAAATCAGAAATCCAGTAGCCAGAAATAGCAAATTATATTTAGAATGTTAAAATATATTATTTGAAACATGATATTTACTTCTTAGTTCTTATATTTCTCCACTTCATATAGTAAAGTGTGTTCTCAAATACTTTATATCGTGTTTAAAACATAATTTCAGGTGTTTTATTTGGAATACTAGGTTTTTAAACATTTTATCTTGGTTTCCATAGAAAATTTGTATTTTGTTGTTGTGATTGTTGTTATGTGCCCTCAAGTCACCTGTGACTCATACAAACCCTATGTACAACAGCCCTAAACCCTGCTCTGTACTGCGCCAATCTCATCATTGTCTCCGACACACTTGCCCCCATTACCCCAGTCACTAAATCAATACACCTCATAGAGGATCTCCCACTACTGCTCTGTCCCTATACTCTCCCAAGCATGATGTCCCTCTCCAAGAACTGGTCCCTCCTTTCAATATGGCCAAAGTATGTCAGACAAAGCCTCAGAATCCTGCCTCCAAGGATCATCCCGGCTTAACCCTCTCTAGGATAAATCTGTTTGCTTTCTTAGCGGTCCATGGTATATTCAGTACTCTTCTCCAGCACTGCAGCTCAAAGGAATCAGTTCTTCTTCTATCCTCCCTAGTCATTGTCCAGCTCTCTGATGAATAGCAAGTGATTGCAAAGACCATGGCCTGTATCAGATGCACCTTAGTCTCCAGAGTGACACCATTGCTCTTCAGGACTTTGGAGAGGTCCCTAACAGCAGACTTTCTCATTGCAATATATCTTTTAATTTTCTGGTTGCTGGTGTCAAGCATGCTCATTGTGGATCCAAGCAAACTTAAGCTGTGAACAATGTCAATCTCTTCACCATCCATTCTGATGCTGCCAATTGGCCCAGTGGTGAGAATCTTTGTCTTCTAGACATTGAGCCTCAGTCCTTATTGAAATCTACAGTCGACCTTCTGCAACAAGCACTTGAGATCCTCCTCAGTTTCAGCCAGCAGGGTTGTGTTAAATATACACATATACATATGTGTGTGTGTGTGTGTGTGTGTAGTGTTTTATTCATGTACATTGTATTTCACATTAAAAAAAATCACTTTATGTCACTTGATCATTCCAATACATTGTGTTTTCTAAAAGTAATCACCACTGATCTTTGCCCACCATTACCCCATCTTTTCAAGTCCCCACTGGATCTTTCCTAATTCCTTTACATGCACCTCCAGTGCCCACCAAACTTGGCAACCCTATGATTTTCCTCTCCCCACACCTAAATCCCCTGCCCGTCTTCTTCCCCAATTGGACTTTATACACATCTTAACTAGTTATCCTTCTGTTTTTACAATATGCTGTATTTGTCCTTATGAGACTGAGTTAGTTCACTCAGCGTTGTGCTGTCCAATCTCTCCCACGTAATGTAGTAGTATTTTTCAAAATTGTTGTTCTTGAGACCTGCATGATTTTCCATCATGTGATTGTACTACAGTTTCTCAATCCATTAGTTTTACTGATGGACATTTGGTCTGTTTCCATTTTCTTACTATAGTGAGTAACATTACTATGAACCTCAGTGTACAAATCTCCGTCTGTGTCTTGGTTCTATTTTCCTTGGAGTCTATATTTCTAGCAGTACAATAACTGGGTCTTATGGGATTTCTGTATCCAGCTTTTTGAGGAAATGCTAAACTACTTTCTGCAGTGGTTGTACCATTTTACAATCCTACCGACAATGTACGATAGTTCCTTCCTCTCTAACATATATTGCTTCCTATCCTGTTAAACTTTGCCAGGGCCCCTGGGGTGAGATGTTACCTCATTGTGGTTTTGATTTGTATCTCTCCTATGGCCAGTTCATCATGTGTCTGTTGGTCATCCAAATGCCTTTATTTATGAAAAGTCTTTCCATGTATTTTGCCTGTTTTGTAATTGAATTATCAGTCTTTTTCTTGTGAAGGCCTTTCAAGTATTCTTACACTTTTATTATGAGACCCTTTTCTGAGATGCCATTGCCAAATGTTTTATGTGGTACAAGTGCTTGACATACTTGGCTGGTTGATTGAAAGCTTTATCTTTGGAGTCCAATCCCTAGTCTTTTGGAAGAATGGCCAGACAATCGACTACAAAATACCGTAGTCCTTGAAAACCCTCTGGGGCCTAGTCTCTAGTGTGTAGGGGCTGACAGAAGTTTGATACGGCTCTTGAGTCATTTTTACTACAGTATATGGTTTTGCTTTGTTTCACTTTTCAGAAACTTTATAAAACTTTGAGTGAAGTCAAGCTTGAAGTGGAGACTGTCATCAAAACAGGAAGACACATTGTCCAGAAGCAGCAAACCGATAATCCCAAAGGGATGGACGAGGAGCTGACGTCCCTGAAGGTCCTCTACAATGATTTGGGGGCCCAGGTGAGGAGGGTAACTCCACTGGCCGTCTCTCTTTCTCTGTGTCTGTCATTCATTCACTTTCTCAGTTCTCTCTCATTTTTATACTTAAAAATGTTAATTCTTGGACAAAGCCTATTTGAATTTTATGGCACTGGTATATATTTTAAAGTATTCACATAATTTTAACAGTTTTCAATGAATACTTCATTAGTTATTCTAGGAAAACGCTTAAATAATCATCTCTGTGTACATTCAAGTTAGTGGTTGTTAGCTTTCTAGATTGATTGTCTACTGAGAAATCTTAAAATGTCCAGGCCAGACAAATACAAAGTGGTGGGAAGTTCCTATTAATCTGCCAGGATTTAAAATCCTCCCAAGAAACCGCTACAGGTTGGCCATTCTAGCAAATCCTTGGAGGAGTGGTGGGGCCTGTTACCCTACCACTAAGTGAGTGATGGAGTGAATCTCATAGATTAATGTCCTCTCCCATTGACAATCTTTGCCTTGAAGCCAAGAAAGCAAAAAGATGTGTGGAACGGAAGCATTTTTGGCAATATTGAAGAATGACGATAGGTAATGTGCTTTGTCTTCCCTGGGTTATTAAATATTAATAGCTTCCAGTTGAAGTAAAAGTCAAGCTTATATATAAGCTCAGAGAGTACTAGCTGAAATTCACTGCTTTCAAATAGGATAATAATAATCAATAGTTAGTATATTTTCTAGACAATTTGACCACATGTCTGCAAGTTTAGGTGATCCTATGGTGTATTGTGATACATTGCCTGTACCACACACACAATAGGTCCTTTTTTTAAAAAAATTTTATAGCCAAAGCTATTATTAAATAAGGTATACATTTGTTGACTGGCTGTGTTATGGATGGAACGGTATTGCTGACTTTCACTGTAACTTCCTAGTTGTGATGTAGTTTTAGAGTTAGTTAATCTGCTCAATTCGGCACAATTGAGATGGCTATGTTTCAGGAATTCTACCAGGAAGTCAGGATATTATAAGAGAAAAAATAGAAACGATCTCTTTGCTTAATGGAGCTAATAGGAGTGAAAGAGAAGTTTTATTTAAATAGCCATACATCATGCTATATTACAAGTGTGAAGTGTTAGGGATTGAAAAGGTATGGTAGGGGCCTTTGCCCAGTATAGATATAAAGGCTGTATCTTGGGTGAGGATTTGAACTCACCCAAGCTGAAAGATGTAACCAGAGTAAGGACTAGCCAGAAGAAAAGTTTTCATGTCTGATGGAATAGCTTTGTAAAAGACTGTGTGTTTAGAGGCAGCATGGTACATTCGTGTGTCTAGAACAGAGACAGCAAATGCAGGGACAATGGCTTTGGGGATACCAGATGGGACAAACCCCTGCTAAGGACTAAGGGTTTGTGTTAAAGATTTCTTAGTGTAAGAACAATGATCAGCTATGGCAAGATATTTACTAAGACATCACATGGTGAGCCTGGTGTTTTTAAAGACCACTCACTGCAGTTTAAATGGTGAATGTAAGGGAACGATCCTTGGTGGGGTAGCAGTTAAAGCATTTGACTGTTACAGAAAGGTTGGTGATTGGAACCCACCAGCTGCTCCCTGGTAGGAATTTGTAGCTGTAGGCTTTTGTAAAGGTTTACAGCCTAGAAAACTCTGGCAACCGTTCTTTTCTGTGAGTTGAAATTGAGCCAGTGGCAAGGAGTTCAGATTTGTTTGTTTAAATGAAGGAGCCAGTGTTGGAGAACGACATATGCTTAGAAGAGCAAAGGATCAGTGATGGAGACGGACATGGGCTGATGTAGTGACCGTAGCAGTAACCAGAGCACAGTGGAGACTTTGGGGACGATGCAAGATCAGGGACAATTTCAGTCTGCCACACATAGGGTTGCTGTCAGCAGAAATTGACTTGCCAGCACCTAACAGGAGCAGCGGAGAGGATGTGGAGTGACCCGTTGTAGTCTTGATGATGGTGGCCTGAACTAGGGCGGGACACTGGGCACTGGAGACAGAATGAAGCAGGTCGATTTTAGATCCATCTAGGAAATGAGATCAGTAAGATTTGGCAATGGTTTTGAGGGTGCAGAAGGGGGAAAGATGGAGGGTGACTGCTGGGTGTCTGACCTACTTGGTGACTCCTGGGTGTCTGACCTGCCTGAATGCATGGTTATTGTGTTATCGTTGAGAAAGGACCACTAGAAGACAAAGCACGTTCATGGCAAGTTCATAAGTATGACATTGGGTATGCTGATTCTTTAGGTGCTTTTGAAATAGTTAATTGAAGATTCGAGTAGTCCTTTCTTTAAATATGGAGAACATTTTCCAGGAGAAGATCTGAATCTTATAAGGCATCTGTATTGAGATGACAAGTAAGTAGGGATTACATCAGATGGGTCACTGTGAGTTGTGGGTGACTTGATGACACATAATAGTAGCAACAACAGTCAAGAAATTTGAAGAAGATGACCTTGCAGAAAAAGGAAAATCAGAAGATTAATAGGAAATGTGCAAACCATGGTGAGTTTAATGTTAGGAGGCCAGAGGAGGAAGTTACATCAAGATTCTAATGTTAAGTAAGGTGCACATTTAAAACATTCTTATTTTATTGTTGCTGTCAAGGTCATTATTGAACTTGGAAAAGTCAGTTTATATGGAGTATTGGGAATGGAAAGCAAAATAGCTTCAGGAGAGACTGGGCTCAAGAAAGAGATAAAAAAAGAATTTGAGAGCTCTAAGTAGTTCTAATAGCTGATGGGAATAATTCACTTGCAGTAGATAGGTTGAATATTCAAGAGGTGGAGGGAATAAATGGCTAGGTACAAGATTTAGAACTTAATACTGTTTAATTCACTCTGCAGTACATCTTAATATATATTGATTAGAATGAGAAGAGTGTAAATTGTTAGAAGTTGCACTGTAAATTATTTTCTTCTATGTACATATAAATCTTGGGTCACATAAAGTTTTATGATGATTGTATAGCTGCCTGGCCATGTCAAAGTAGATAAATAGCATTTGGATACATACTGTCTTTTAACATAATTCAATAATTTACCTCCAAATAATTACCCTGACGTGCTATTAACTTAGGGTAGGAATTTTAATTAAACCCTGTAGAAAAAAAATAATCAATTTTAAGAAGGATTTTAATAAAAGTAATCCTTGATGTATGAATGAGCAAAATTGAACCTTGAGGGAGCAGAAAAAAAATGTTATTAACAAAGTTCACTCTTTATATTATTGTATATACTTGAGAAAATTTCACTCCATCTAAGATTTATCACTTTAATACTTAATGTTATTGCTTATATGTTTGTGTACATAAAAAGAAAAATGTTTTTTATGGATTGTGTTGTGATGTTCTGTAATTATTTTTGAACACTTATTGTTTTAGGGTGAAAGTTTACCTAGTAATTTAGTTTCCTATACAATAGTTGATGTACAAATTATTCGGTGACATTGCTTGCTAATGCTTTATTGTGTTAGTACTCATACCATTTCCAGCCTGGCTTCCTTATTTCCGCATTTTCAGTATCCTTCTCCTCCCCTGCCTTTCAGCATTATTATGGGTGTTGTTACCCTGTGGGTATTGAATAGTTGACTGATCTAAAGAACACATTCTTCATGGTATTACTGGCCAATCTATTATTTGGTTGAAGAGTGACCATGTGGAGTGGCTTCAATTCCAAGTTAAAAAAGTATTTTGGAATCATAGTTTTGGGACTTGCTCCACTCTCTATCCTTTCAATAAGTTTGATTTTTTAAATGATTATTTAGTTTTCTTTCATTCAAACCAGAACCTTATATTGCGTTCTTAGAGTGGTTGATGTTTTCTGAGCTCAGGTTAGAGGAGGTGTTGGTTTATGTATTATCCACATGGACTGGCTGCTCCTTGAGTCTTTGAGTCTCCCCTGAGGCTTCATTCTCTCTTTCTGCTGATGGGAAGAAACTTAATAGTTGAATCCTAGAGAACCACTTGCAAGCTTTTAAGATTCCAGGTGCTGCTTATCAAACTAGGATATAAAACCTTAACTCTGAACTGCGCTATGCTAGTTGACCTGGGGGTCCCTTGAAACTGTGGTTTTTAGCTTTCAAGCTCAGTTTACTCATTTCCAATATATTTGGAGATGTATACAAAGTTTCCATAACATTTTCAATTATGTATATGAATATATTGGCAATGTATATATATATTCTCCAGGCTGATATCATTGCTCTTCAGTATTTTGGAGAGGCCTCTGACAGCAGATTTTCTCAATGCAGTTTGTCTTTTTACTTCCTGACTAAAGGTACCAAAGAGTGTTGATTGTGAAGCCAAGCAGACTGAAGCTCTTGACAATCTCAGTCTCTTCACCACCTATCACGATACTGCCAGTTGGTCCCAGTGGTAGTTGTCCTTTAGTCTTGGCATACCTTAGTGTCTTCTTTTACCTTTGTCACATTTACTTTCTCCTTTGTGTATTTTTGTGTATTGTGTATTTTCCTTCACCAGAATTAACATGTGGCCACTATCTAGTGAGTGATTCTTTCTCTCTCCCTCCCACCCTAGTAACTTTCAGAGAACATTGCTTTCCATGGGTAAACCTATTTTTGACTTTTTATCAAACCAGTAACATGCAGTATTTTTTCCTTTTGTGATTATATTCAGCAAAATGTTCTCCAGAGTAATTCATGTCCTGAAATGGTTCAAGGACTCAATGTTCTATGAAGTTGTGCTGTAGCACATCGTATGTGTAGGCCATATTTTGTTTATCCGTTCATTCACTGATGGACACTTGAGTTGTTTTCATCATTTTGCTATTGTGAATAATGCTGTATTGAACATGATGGATGTGCATTCATTCATTTGTGTCATTACTCTTATCTATCTAGGATATAGACTTAGTAGTGGGATTGCTAAATCTTACTGTGTTTCTGTATCAACAACTTTCTATAGTGGTGGTTATAATAGTCATTAAAATATATCTTAATTTTGCATTGTTTTGGATGGTTTTGGTAGGAGCTGGAGAGGTTTCACAAAGTGATGTCAAACAGCCTGCCATGGTCAGTCTATGGCGGGCCCACCCTGGCCATGACCTTAATCTCTAGCCTTTATTGTATTGATCATAAAGTCGAAAGAAAAATGGCAATGCTACGACTCCAGCTTTTATTACATTTGTAAGCTTCCCTGATATTATATGAGAACAGTGCTAGTTGTGTACATTTTTCTTTCATGTCAATAGCAAGAAAAAAGTTAATAATAAAAAAATTATAAAAATGAATAATAAAAAATTAATAATTACAAAATAATGTGTTTCATAATCCCTTACTGTATCTTAAGTGACCAACTATAAAGGATGTAATTGTATAAATAGTACTATTCTGCCTTAGATTTCTAGAAAATAGTGAGTAGGTGTATATTTAGAGTCCTTTATTGAAAGGATTATAAGGCTTCTTCTCTTCAGAATAGTAACAGATACTATTTACTGATCCAGTAACTTTTTTCAAGGATAAGGCCAAGACATTCATATTAATGTTTGCATTTTTAATACTCATGTTGTTTTAGGTACTTTTAATTGACACAGACCCATAGCAACTCCACGTACCATATATGACAACCTTGCCTGGTCCTCTGCCCTCCTCACAGTTCCCACTGTGCTTAAGTGCATTGTTGCAGTGACTGTGTCAGTGCATCTCCTTGAGCCTTGACTTTGCCTTTTATGCCTGCCTGTTGTCAAATCAGTGAATCCTGTCACTTAGAGATATAAGTGGGACTAGAGAGAAAAGCTAGGTGTGGGTTGGGTACCATGGAGGGGCTGACTTCTAGCAACCTCACGTGATAGAACTGCAGTGTGTGGTTGACTTGGCTGCAATCTTTGTGGTTGTAGATCGTCAGGGTTTTACTGTGTGTGGGTAGTTCATGGGGAGTTGCCCAACTGACCTAAAGCTCGTGTGCTTCTCTGCCAGTTCTGAGGGATCAGGACAGGCTCTCTCCTCCAGTAATACCTACAGGCTCTGAAAACCCCCTGCAGGGTCAGCCACTAGTTGGTTCCCTCCCAACGAAGACAGTGAGGTTTTTGTATTTGGAGACCTTGGGTGAGTTCAGACCACCAACATTGTCTTTAGTGTTCTTTTTTGTTGTTTACTGTCAAGTCGAACTTAGACCTGACCCATAGCTGACCCTCCAATATGTTTTCAGAGGCAGTAAATCGCAGGGCAGGAGAGTGTCCATCCTTCTCCCACAGAGTGGCTGGGGGATTTGAACTGCATGCCTTCGAGATTGCAGTACAGGTTCTTACCACTAGGCCACCAGGGCTCTATTGAGAGCTGCTTCTTTATCCATTGTTCTTTCACAGCTGCTTTATGTGCATGGATTAGGGTTAAATAGAAATCTTTATGAGTCCTAAGTTAACATTCGGATTCTTTCCCACCTATTCCTTGTTGCATTTCTCTCACTGTCATTCCTTTTCAGGTGACAGAGGGAAAACAGAACCTGGAACGAGCGTCACAGTTGGCCCGGAAGATGAAGAAGGAGGGAGCCTTGCTCTCTGAATGGCTTTCTGTTACTGAAGCCGAGCTGGTGCGGAAGTCCGCTTCAGAAGGGCAGCTGAGCGACTTGGATGCAGAGGTTTCCTGGGCTAAAGTAAGTTGTGGCTTTGACTCCTAGAGGACTCCATGTCAGTGATAGCCTGTGCCGTTTATTCAGGGAAGCTAAGGTGGATGAGAGCGTCCTGCATTTCGTATTAAGTGTAAACTTTTTTCTTCCATCATTTCTCCACTTTCTCTGTAGCCCTAAGAAAGAAGACTATTTAAAATAACCATCCCACAAATTTAACAAGATATTTTATCATGATTCCCAAAATATTACTTTCATGTCGATAATCAAGACCCTCATAGATGCTGTGCTTGTGGGGTATTGTACTTGAAAACACTGCAATTATCGTCTTTGAATCAACGACAACTTTTTGAGGACTCAGTATTTAGAGTTTTCTTTTGAATGTAACTTTTAAACGTAGTTTTTTTTACTCATGATTTTTCTTTTGCAAAGTGAGTCTTGTTTATAGCACAGGAAGTGATTTTTTAAAGTGAATTTTTAAAGCAATCAATACAAATGTACATTTTCTTTAGCTTTATGTTGTGTCATAGCACTGCGATTTGGGCTGTTAGCCAGAAAGATCACTTGTTTGAATCTACCAGCTGCCCTGCAGGAGATTGATGATGCAGTTTCCTCTTCTAAAGACTTACAATCTCAAAAACCTGGTGGAAGGCAGCCAGGAGTTGGAATTGACACATTGGTGGTGAATTTTGTTTGAGTTTGTTTTTTTGGGGTGCTGTCTAGTTGATTCTGACTCATAATGACCCTGTGAACAGAGCAGTAGAATTCTGCGAAGGTCTGTAACTGCCTTATAATCATGGCACAATTCTTCCCTCTTCCCTCCTCACTGTCCAGCTTCATTGACCATGCATCTGAGACAATTGAAAATCCCTTGACTTGGGTCAGATACTTGCTAGTCTTCAAAGTGACATCTTTGCTTGTAAGCATTTTCAAGAGGTCTACAAATTTGCCCAATGTAATCTTTCATTTGATTTGTGAACTGCTGTTTCCATGAACACTGATTGTGGATCCAATAAAATAAAAATCCTTGACAACTTCAGCATTTTGTCAGTTTATCATGATGTTGCTTAATGGTCCATTTGTGAGGGGTTCTCCCCCCCTACTATTGAAATGTAATCTACAATGAATACAAAGATCTTTGATCTTCAAGTGCTTCAAGTCCTCTTTGCTTTCAGCAGGTAAGGTGGTGTCATTTGCATCTTTTAATGATTTTTTTCTCTAATCCTGATGCTGTGCTTTGAATTTCTCCAATTGTTTATTCAACATAGCGGTTGAATACAGTGAAAAGGCACAACCCTCACTCACATCTTTCCTAATTTTATGTGTCCCCTTTGTATTTTCAAATGATTGCCTTTTGGTCAATGTACAAGTTCCCTGTGAACATCTTGTAGTGTTCCCAAGTTTTCGTTTGTAGCAGTGTTTTCCATAAGTCAAATAACCAGTTCTGATCCATTTGACATCAGTGATGTTCCTTTTTCCACATCCCCATCCAAGCTTCAGTTTCTTGTCTGTGTACTAGTACAACTGTTTTAAAATTCTCTTCAGCAAAATTTTTAATTGCCTATGATATTTTGCGAATTGCCACATTATTTTGTGTGACCTTCCTTTGGAATAAGCATGTATATAGAATTCTTGGACTTCCTTGGCCTTTTCAAATATGCTAGGATAGACTGTTGAGTATTTCCACCCTTATATCTTATTGTTGAAAATTTTCAAGTGGTGTTTTGTCAATTCTTGGGTCTCTGTTATTTGCTAAAGATTTCAGTGCATTTTGGACTAATTTCTTTTTTTTTTTGTAATTTTAAAAATTTTAATAATTTTAATGAACATTTACAGAGATTTTGGATTTCCATTCATTCATTGCTGCATTCCTCTCCTGCCCAGCCCCCCAGCTCCCCAGTTTGCTCCTCTCTTTGAAAAGTAAAAGAAAAACTCCCTCCCTGGTACATAGTCCCCCCGCACCCCTCCCACCACTCCAAGTACATTCCACTATGCAACCTTAATTATCTTGTGATAACCATAATACCCTATCATACATCGCTTTTAAATTATTCTCTCTCTCATCTGTTTCAGTGCAGTATACACAATTGATGCAGTTTTTCTCAGTCTTATCCCAACCCTGATATCAGTCCCATTTTACAGCAGTGGCATCATTCAGTATTTGTCCTTTTGTGACTGAGATATTTCACTCAGCATAAGCCCCATTGGATCTTGCTCATATAGTACCTCTTGAAATGGTTGAATGCCAATCCTTGCTTTTTTGGTACACTAGCTCTGTGTATTTTCTCCATATTCTTTTGATTCCATATACATCACTCCTATTTTCCCCATGTTGTTAGGTGCCCACAAATTGAGTATGACTCATAGTGACCTTTGAACAACAGATTGTAACCCTGCCTATTCTATGCCATCCTCACAATCTTTGATACACTCAAGTCCATTACTACAATCACTTTGTCAGTCTACCTGGTTTGTGCTTTATTCTCCTTTCTTTCACTGACCTTCCACCTTTCCAAGCATGATATCCTTCTCTAAGGAATGACTTCTTTTAGCAACATGTCCAAAGTATGTAAGATGAAGCTCTATCATCTTTGCTTCCACGTAACACTCTGGCTGGACCTTCTCCAAAACATATGTATGTTCTTTTGGCAGTCCATGGGGTATTCAGCACTCTTCTAAATCACAGCCCAAAGTCATCAATTCTTTTGTCATGTGTGTTCATTGTCTAGCTCTCAGCTGCATAACAAGAGATCAGAAAGACCATGGTGTGAATCTGATACACTATTGTCCTTACTTGATGTCATTTCTCCTCTATAATTTGGAGAAGTCTTTGACTGTACTTTCCCAGTGTAATACATCTCCGGATTTCCTGACTCCTGGTACTAAGTACATTGATGGTATATATTCAAGTAAGAGGAAGGCATTGACAGCTTCAACCTTTTCTCTCTCTATCATGATTAGTCCAGTGGTGAGGATCTTTGTTTTCTTGGCATTGATATGCAATGCATAGAGAAGGCTGCAGTGTTTAACCTTTTGCAGCAAGTACTTCAAGTCTTTCTTATTTTCTACAATCAAGGTTGTGTCATTTGCATAGCAAAGGTTATTGATGAGTCATCCGCTAATCCTGATGCCCCATTCTTTTCATAGTGTCGGACTTCTTGAATAATTTGCTCAGCACAGAGATTAAGCAGGTACACAGAAAGGTTACAACCCTGACCTACCCCTTCCTTAATTTTAAAAGATGTAGTGGTCATTAGTATGATAATAGTGATAGGAATGGGTATCTCCACACACTTAATAGTGCTTGTGCAAAACCTGTACCTAGACCAAAAGGTTATTGTGTTTACAGAGCAAGGGAACATGATACGGTTTAAATTTAAGAAAATTGTGCATCAGTTTTGTATCCTCTCTCCATACCTATTCAGTCTGTATGCTAAACAAATCATTTGAGAAGCTGGACACTGAAGAAGAATATTTTATCAGAATCAGAGGAAGACTCATCAACATCCTGCGTTATGCAGATGACACAACCTTGCTTGCTAAAAATGTGGATGACTTAAAGCACTTGTAGAAGAAGATCAAAGAATACAGAGATTATACATTTACCATATATTTTTTCTTTTTCTGACAAGGATTATAAACTGTGCTTTTTCAAAATACTTGTAACAGAAATAGAAAAGAGCAAGTCCTAGTTTTGTGCATTCATATTTGGAAAAAACATCCCTATGGAAGTTATTGTAAGTAACTACAGTTCCAAATATAGTAAAAATCTTTTTGTGACACTATCAATAACCATTTATGAAGCTCAAATAAACTTTTCAAAACTATCAAGAATTTCCATTCGAGAATCAGAACTCTATAAAGAAGAATGTGGCATCAGGATCCAAGGAAGACTTGCTTGCTGAAAGAGAGGAAGACTTGAAATGCTGCAGAAGATCAAGACAATGGCCTTCAGTATGGATTACATCTCAGTGTCAAGAAAACAAAAACTCACCACTGAACCAACAGGCAACATTATGATAGATGGAAAAAAGAATGAAATTGTCAACAACTTTATCTTACTTAGCTCTATAATCATTACTCTTGGTGCTGGCATTCAGGAGATCAGGAACTGTATTTAGATGAGAAAGTCTGTAGTGAGGGACCTCTCCAAATGATTGGGAAGTAATGATGTCAGTTTGAAGCCTGAAGTACACCCGATTCAGGTTGTGTGGTCTTTTCAACAACTTTGCTGTGTAATTGAGAGCTGGACAGTAAATAAGGATGACAGAAGAATTGAAGCCTTTGAGCTGTGATATTGGAGAAGTGTAATGATTGTCATATGGATTGCCAAAAAAAACAAACAGACATGTCTTGGAGAAGGT